CCTGCTGAAAAACTGCCACAGAATTAGAATTGGATCAATCAGGAGAGGTCACCTGGCCCCAAGACAAAAACTTTCTTTACATCTTCCTATACACACACACACACACACACACACACACACACACACACACACACCAACTTCTATCAGGGGATTTTCAGTGACAGGGAGCTCACCCCTCACAAGGTAGTCTATTTCACTTCCATCTATTCCACTTTCCATCTCCCAAAATCTACTGCTCTGTAACTTCCTGGTTTCAGTTTAGGGTGGTAATTGTTATGCAAGATAAGCTGCATGTGTATGTGTGTTTTACTTTTAGTGTTTTTATGTTTAAAAATCTTTTATATTCAGTCATAGAATGATGTCTTTAAAAGCAAATGCATGCTTAAACTAAACTAAAATAAAAATTCTCGTAACAAATGATTAGAATAACTACAGATTTATAATATGATTAATAATCAACAATTTCTTTAAAAAAGGATTGAAAGCAATTTACTATGGGCTTTGGAGGAATATCATTTACTGTATCAGCAAAGTAGCACTGCATAACAGAGACCACTGGTCGGAGCGGCATAAGAGCTACGATCTAGTCTCAGCTTTGACTTTCACTAGCTGTGTGGCCCTGGACAAGTTTCTTGATCTCTCTGGAGCTCAAAAATTCCTCAAATCTGGAAAGGAAGCCAGAAAATGGCTAAGCTGTTTTTCTTCCAATTCTGTAACCCCTTACCAATCCCAGCTTAAAAAAAGCTTAAAAATGCTAGATCTTTATGAACAGACAATATGAAATGAGAAAATCAAGATAAGGTAAACATAAAACTGCTTATGTTCCTAGTAACTTGCATAGGATATAAAAGAATTAACAAGTCAATTAAAGAATAAAACTTAATATTAAAATAAGGAGCTATATTGAGATAGGGCAAAGATTTGATATACGGGAGACCTTCTGAGACTCCTGAAAAATCAATTTAACAGACATTAATTGACTACTGTATTTAAAGCCCTGCCAAGCACTACAGGGACATAAAGATAAAAACAGATACAATGAGCCCTCAAGGAAGTGGTGAGAGACAAATACAGGAGAAATTAGAAACAAATGAAGGCATATATAGGAGATCTAGTGATTAGTGAACATTAAAAAACCTTACTCACTTCACTGCTATAATCCAAAGAAACAGGAGAGGAAACAGGATAGGAAGGTAAGGATTCTGTATTGATCTAAAAGAAGAGTGGAAAGTTATAAAGGTAAAAAAGGAAAACAAAACCATACTTCATAAAACACTGCCAGAAATATCAATCACCCAATCACCTGAGTTCATAGTTATACTGCCAACAAGGGAGGAGGAAAAAGAACTAAAACCAACGCCAAGAGTCCAAGTGAATCACTATGAAAAAGAGTATGGGTGTCATCACCTGTGAGAAGGGACCTATGTTTGTCTTATTAAAGTCATCAGGACAGTACTTAAAAGCAGGTGGACCAAAGAGCATGGAGTCTAACAGAAGCAAAGATTAAAGTCTTAAGTGAACTGTCTTAGACCATCTCCTCTGCTTCATGGAAACCTCTAATGTTAGCAAAGGAGTAGTGCCCTTCTTTAGCATTATCCAGTTACCTAGACTAAATTTAAAAGGTAGGAAAAAAAAAAAAAATACCTGACTAGGGTAAGGAGATTGTCCTCCAGGGTACTGAGAAGGCATCGGTCCCCCAGGAAAACCACCTACATATTAAGAAAAAATACAGCAATCAGGTCTTAACAGATTTAATTTTTCAAAACAGCACTGATTTATTATGAATACAGAAACATATGTGAATATTCACACTACTTATTCACTAGGATAATTTTTAAGTTTTATAATTTACTGAATCAAAAACCAACTTTGGTCACAAGGACCTTTTAAAATATTCCATGTCCTAATTTCTTTAAAATAATTTAACATAATTTCTTTATAAACAATACTCTAAAAAAAGAACAAAACACTTGAACCAGATTAAATTCTGATTCCATCCAGAAAGGATGACAGGACACAGTTCTGGGGGTTGTTTCCTTTGTGCTATACTAATGAGCAGAGAAGTTCCTGAAGGTTTTGCTTTTTGGCTTCAGGACAGATAATTTTTTTTTAATTGAAAAAATAGGTCCTTATTACCATCTTGCTGATTAAACTTTTTCATCAAATTAATACACTTCATGAAACCGTAAACTACCTAAGAAGTATTTAATATAAACATTTACTAAAGACGATCCCAAACATAAACTACTAAGTTCCTTCAACAGCAAATGCAAGATTCAAAATATCAAGCTACTGTTTTTCTCCGGACAGTTAGTACATACCAGGTAGTGGGACCTGGGATGGGCCCCCGCCGTAAGACTGTGAGGGTGGCTGTGGATAGCCAGAAAAGCCTGCTCCACTTGGTGGGGCTCCAAACCCTTGGCCTGGAGGAAGAACAAGAGAAAAAAAGAAACAAACTACAGTGAGAGTTCTCATGATTGAAGTGAAAACTTTAGAAACAGTAGAAGAAAATATACTATTAATGCTATAGCAGTAGTCCCTTTTGGTCTAAATTCAATTTCTCAACAAATCCTTCCCCATTAAAAAATAAATTTAAGAAAAATGTTACTTCATTCATCTGCCTTAATAACTTATAATACAAAAGTGCTAAGATTTTTGTCTGTCTGTTTGGTTGGTTGGTTTGGTTTTTTACATACTGTGGACAAAGCTGTCCTAAGGTCACAATCATGACAAATGAAATATATTAATCAGTTCTTAAGATTACAAATTATCAACCAAACCATTATATATTGGTCCTTTATTACCATGAGATTTATTCTAATTCCTTTCACAACAGAATTTTGGAGACTGCTCCCAGCTTTCATGCCTCCTGAGAACCTTTATCCTTCTATCTTGCCAGCTAGGTCCTTACTGTTTAAGGTAGAAAGTAGGCTAAGAGCAACTCTGACCTCGTACAAAACAAGAAGGAACCGAGAGGATTAAAGAGAGAAGAAAAAAAATGCTATACTAATTCCACAACCCAGGACTCACCTCCAGGATAGGATGGAGCTCCCCCTGGCTGTGGGGCACTGGGATAGCCTCCAGGGGCAGGGCAGCCTCCAGCTCCTGGGTAGCCTCCAGCTCCTGGGTAGCCACTACTTGGTGCTGGTGGGTAGGCACCTCCTCCCACTGGAGGAAAGCCACTAGGATAAGAATACTGACCAGGAGGAGGAAAAGATGACTCCTGACCCGCAGGCTGAAAAACCAGAAAAATTTTCAAATGAATGTGATCACCAAGAAATAGAACCTAGCTAAGGAAACAAACAAAGATAACTGTTAAGGTCTAGTTTATTCTTTTACATATTAAAAAGCCCATTAGAAGTCCTGGTATCTCATACTAGTTTATCAGTATACTAGTTTTTCAGGACACTTGTTTGTCAGAATTCAGTTATATATAAATCTACCTGTGTTAGGCAAGAAGGGTCTGTTTCTCTATTCAGGAGTAAGAACCAGGCTCTTTCCAAACCTCAAGCCTTCAGGAACAACTAGCAAAGCTCATTAGTTCCTTCATTTTCCTAGCACCTGGAAATAATATTTGCCTCTCTACCCTAAAGAGAAGAATTCATGGCTTTCTTGCAACACATCTGGACCTGTGCATAATAGGGGGGGAAAAAAAAAAGGTGACCTGAGTCATACACTGGATGTGACATTTTGGACCTCAGTTCAGATCACACAATGTCTAAGTGTGGAGAGACTGTTACATGTTCACTACACTTTTTCCCAGGCCACAAAACTAGACTACATTTCCCAGGACCCCGTTACAGTTAAATAGGACCATATGACCGAATACTGGTAAACAAATGTGGACAGAAGTAACGTACGTGACTTCCAGCCTGGTCCCCTTAACTTTCTGCCCAGTCCTCTAAGCTCTCTCTTCCCCTCTCTTTTCCTTCATCTGCCAGCTGGAAGCAGAAGATCCAGTGGAGGACTCCAAGGCACTAGAGAATGGTAGAGCCAATATACCAAGGCAACAGAGGATGGAAGGAGCCTGGCAACCCGCAAGACGAGATGGAACAAAGCCTCCTAGCTCCCCACCACACCCCTCTCCCCGCCACCCCCACCACTGACTTCCAGGAGACTGAAGTAAGCAAGTAATAAGTTTTTATTGTGTTAAGTCATTGGGATGTTAGGGTTGTCTGTTTTAACAATTAGCTGATATTGACTGAAATGGTGGTCAGAGTCCAGTTTAGTACATAGGGACCTGGGAACATATTCATAATTCTCATCTCTTCAATGATAAATTCAGGAGAGCTATGTATTCACTTTACATAAGAATATACATATTATCATTAATCTGTATAGGCCCCTCTTTCTATTCTCCCAGAGTTAGAAAGAAGCCCTGCATACTTATGAGCATAAAATTGAAACACACTTCTTACTTATGCCTCAGCTATGAGGTTAGTCCTCAGAATAATAGCACATTTAAAACATGCACTCCAAATACTAAAAGTCTCAGAAGTACTAATCCAGGGACCTCTAATCCACTGCAATTTGTTACCTATGAGTCAAGCTCCTCTTAAGTTTTTTTTTTTTTTTTTTAAAGATGTTGGGGGTAGGAGTTTATTAATTAATTAATTTATTTTTGCTGTGTTGGGTCTTCGTTTCTGTGTGAGGGCTTTCTCTTAAGCCCCCTCTTAAGTTATTTTAAATCTTCTAACACAAAGGTTAAAAACTAGTAACTCAGGACTTCCCTGGTGGCACAGTGGTTAAGAATCCGCCTGCCAATGCAAGGGACACGGGTTCGATCCCTGGTCCGGGGAGATCCCACATGCTGCTGAGCAACTAAGCCCGCGCACCACAACTACTGAAGCTGGCGTGCCTAGAGCCCGCGCTCCGCAGCAAAAGAAGCCACCATAATGAGAAGCCCACGCACCGCAACGAAGAGTAGCCCCTGATCTCTGCAACTAGAGAAAGCCCACACACAGCAACGAAGACCCAACGCAGCCAAAAATAAATAAATACTTAACAAACAAACAAACAACAACAAAAAAACCCAGTGACTCATAGGATCGATTTAGCTTACATACATGTTGTACTGAATCATACAGCATTTAACGTTTTAAAATATTCATTTCCCAATTTTAAAAATTGGGCAATTTCACATAAAATCCAGATTGTTGGCTTTACTTGAAGATATGGAATTATCCAGCAACACTGGGTCAGCCTCCCTGCATGGACACATCCGGCTTAAGCTGACTAACTGCTGCCTTTCCACAGGTGAGCCAAGTCCCTGTAGTTCCCCACAACACCTGCCTTCACTCATGTACTCTACTCAGTACTTCTGGCCATTTGAATTTATGACCCCTGCTCTAGCATATCTGTAAGATCTGTCATGGGCTGGCTAGTTCTATACAAGATCTGTGCCAAGGACATGAGCTATTTTAGTATCATAAGTGGCAATACTTACAGGATATCCAGGGAAAGCTGGGTAGCCTGTGGGGGGATAGCCCGGGTACGACATTCTGTAACAACAATAAAAAATGTCTTCTGTAATTTCCTATAAGGATTAAGGCCTTTGAAGATATATTTTGTCATAGGGTTTAATCAAAACACACCTTCTTTCAAAAGAGTCTAGCAGGCAGACTGATTCAGTAGTTCTGAGACGGGGCCCAAGATTCTGTATTCCTAACTAAGCTTCCAGGTGATGCTATTGCTGCTGGTCTGTGAATATTTTGATACCAGAATATTTTGGCATTTCTGAATCTACCACCTAATTTGCCAAATTTTTCAGTATGTGTTTTGGCTCGTCTCCCCAATACAGCTATAAATGATTTGTATTTCTTTTTTATCAAGACCCCAAACAATGACATATATACACTACTATATATAAAACAGATAACTAATAAGGAGCTACTTTATAACACAGGAAACTCTACTCAATACTCTGTAATGGCCTGTATGAGAAAAGAATCTAAAAAAGCGTCAAAATATGTATATGTATAACTGATTCACTTTGCCATACACCTGAAATTAACACAACATTGTAAATCAACTATACTCCAATAAAAAATTTTTTTAATAAAGGACCCCAAACAAATCCAGTTCAACACTTACAACAGCCCACTATTTAATAAGCACTGTCCTAGGTGCTGATACAGAGATGAGGGGGGAGGAAAATGAGAAAATAAATTTAAGTTATTATAGTGCTCCTTATGACATAAGCACAGTATAGAAGCTAAAAACTTGCTAAATTGAGAATGAATGGGCATATATTTAGTCGAAGTTGAAAGAAAATAAGAAAACTGATACAGTCAGTTTTAAAACAGTCATTTGGAATCCAAAGACCTGGATGCAAAGGACGTTAAATCATTTTTTGCTGTCTTCTTCCCCAAGCCCAGCTGATAAAAAAAAGTAGTAAAGGAGAAACAATACCATCCAAGAACAGTCAGATGGACCAAGGGTAAAAGAGGTCAGGGTCAAAATAAAGTGAAAAAGTCTGAAAATAATTTATGAGAGAAATTAATAATAATTTTATTTATTATTATTATTTTTTTTTTTTTTTGGCACGCGGGTCTCTCACTGTTGTGGCCTCTCCTGTTGAGGAGCACAAGCTCCGGACGCACAGACTCAGCGGCCATGGCTCACGGGCCCAGCCACTCTGCGGCATGTGGGATCTTCCCGGACCGGGGCACGAACCCGTGTACCCTGCACTGGCAGGTGGACTCTCAACCACTGCGCCACCAGGGAAGCCCAATAATAATTTTAAAGGCAACAAGTTTTATAGCACCAAAGACTACAAAAACAATTTAAATTTCTAAATCTCAGGAACTGTTCCAGTGACAAAGTCCTATTTCTACAACCTTTAGCTACTACATTAAATCTTACCTTTAAAGGCACTAGAGGAATTACGTCAACAAGAGTTTCTGAACAGAATGAAGATAAAGACTATCTGTACATGAGAAAACTTAAAGCAACTTTAAGAAAATGAATCTGGGTACATTTTGAAGTATAATTATATAAAGGACTAGAATGCAATTCTATTTCCAGGATGTACCTCATAAAAATACTTACACAAATGCAAAATTATATACGTACAAAGCTATTCATTACATACTATTTGTAACAGAAAAAGGTTGGGAATTCCCTGGCAGTTCAGTGGATAGGACTCAGCGCTTTCACTGCCACGGGCTGGGTTCAATCCCTAGTCAGGGAACTAAGATTCCGCAGGCCAAGTGGCATGGCCAAAAAAAAAAAAATCGGTTAAAAACAATCTAAAAGTCCATTAATAAGGAACAGGTAAAACAGATTATGGATAGCCATACAATGAAGTGTTAGGCAACTATTAAAAATGAGCAGCTCTCTTTTTACTCATATGTGAAACCATCTCTAAGTCATATTAAGTGGGAAAAAGCAAGATGAAAAACTACATAGATAATTTGCAACCAAATGTGTAAAAATTACATTTATTTGCTTGTATACAGAGAATATCCCTGAAAGTATACTCAAGAAAGTAGGAAACAGTACTCCACTGCTGCCTCTGGAGAGGAGAGCTGGGGCATAACAAGGAGACTTTTCAATGTACTAAAAAAAAGGGCTAAGTGTCCTTTTGGAATTATGCATGTATCATCTATTCAAAACGCAGATTTAAAAAGCTTTTGTAAAAAGCTGAAACAAACCCAAGTTTGGTGACTCAACAAACTACTCAACTTTGCCCAAGGAATAATCAGACTATACCAGTGAACCAGAACTTTAATTTCCTTTTCAACATCCTCCATCAGCAACTACTTTTAAAAGACTAGAAAAGCATTCTTGGTTTTCCAAACCATCTCCACCCAGTGAGTCAACTACTAAAAGGGGTGGGTCTCACTATTCAAGTCTCAGAGATGGCATGAAGCCCAGGAACACAGGAGGCAGCTGTTGCAAATTTATGAAACAAATACAAAATAGAAAGGGTGTATGAAGATGGCCAACAGCAAATACTACAATTTTCCAAAACCTGCCTCTTGACTGGGAAAGACCATTTAAATCTGTCAGCAAGGGCCCTTCAATAAAGAACTGGAGGCACGACTAGGCTCTGCATGGACAGGGTAGGCAGTCTCCACCAGTGAGGACTGAAAGGAGGCTTCACTTTGCAGTGGTCGAAATTCTCTCTTCTACCTCCCTATCTAGTACTTGAAACTCCTTCCCTGCCTGATAGGTAACTCATTACACTCATTATCTAATTAGGACAGATTATCAGATCAGCTCCCCACCAACTGGCAGAAATTAGAGAGTTTAAAGGCAGTTGGACGACTTTTCATTTGTCACTTTATGGTGGACATCAGCCATCTCCTTCTGTAGAAGTGTTCACACAGGTTGGGCTCAAATCAGCACACGTTTGCTGCTGCTAAGGTACTAGGAATCAAATCTGGAATGCCACTTCCCTGAATAGTTCCCAAGAATTATAAACCTGAACCAGTGTACAGTTTTAGGCTTCCGCATTCTGTCCTAGGTTCACTAAGCAAGTACAAACGTCCCAAGTTTCCCTAAATTTGCTGTGTCACCAGGAAGTCTAGTCACCAGCCGGACTTAGCTTTCGGTGCTGCTCACCGGTTTTCCTACTCAGCCCTCCTTGGGGTCGCTTCAGCAGGGCCATCCTCTGGCCTCAACCCCTCCACCTGTGGTCCACCTGCCTGCGCGGGAGGCCTCACTGCTCCCTCGGACCTCCGGACAGCCAAGGGGCACAGACGACCGGCGAACAGGACTTCCCGTTGCCCGGCCGCCTCGCCGATCCCGCCCTAATGCGCCCCGGCCCGAACGCCCCCACCAAAACGCGCACACCGAGTCGCCGGCCACTCCCGGGGCCCACAGGCTCCTCCAGCGCCCCCCGGCTCGGGGACACACGCGGGGCCCCGCCCTCTCCCGGCTAGCAGGCCTCAGAGCAGGCCGGGGCGAGGCGACCGAGGGGTACGAGGGGTGGCAAGGGTAGAGTACGCCGTTCCTCACCTGACCCGGTGGAGCAGCGTCACGTCCCAACCTGGTCTCGAGCAAGATGGAGCCGGGGGCGGGCCCGGGAAGGGCGGGGCGCCGAGTGCCGCCGCCCGAGGCCGTTAGGATCGCAGGGGGCGGTGCCGACAGGGCCAGTCCAGGCGGCTGTCGGTGCCGCTGCTCCGGCTTTCCCTTCCGCCCCGCCTCGCCGCTCCACCTGCGAGAAGACGCTCTCTTCGGGTACACCAGCCAGTTTTATCACAGTTCCTTCTGGGCTCTCTCAAGCCATTTGGGAAGTTGAAGCCGTCCTGAGGAATCCCAAAGCCCCTTCAGTGGTGGGCGGCAAAGAAGGGCTTGAAACTGGGAGGCCAGGGGCAGCCTCTCCGCCTGATGTGCCGTCCTCCCTATCTTCTGAGGACAAAGACGGTGTCTTTTATTAGTCCCTTGTGAATTGAATTAATATTTATGAGGCTCCTAGATAGTGGGAACAGGAGGTGCACTAATCAAAACCACTCCAGAAGGGAGTTGTTAGGTGATTCCAGGCTCCCCTCACACTAGAGCCCTACCATTAACATTTGAGGCAATTTCAAGGGCCCAGACCAGTATCTTAAACTCATTAAGAAAGTTTATATTCCAGAGCAAAGAACCAGTTGGCTACCTTTTACAGTGGTTCTCAAACTGTGGTCCCCAGACTGGCAGCCGCCACATTACCTGGTAACTTGTTAGAAATGCAACTCATTGGGCTCCACCTTAGACCCAATGAATTAAATTCTAGAGATGAAGCCCAGCAATCTGTTTTAACAAGCCCTCCACGTGGTTCTATGCACACTAAAGTTTGAGAACTATTAACCTATTACTCCACATGCTTTTCTACCCAAAAGCTTCCTCATGGGGGTGGGATAGGGTGGATTAAATTTTTAAGTGGCAAAAGCAAGATATACATGGCCCTAGAACAGGGGTGAAGTGGAACGTACTTGAGAAAGGTCACTGCCAAATTTAAACAAAATTGCACAACACTCTGGGTACCCAGCATTAATTCCCCAGCTCTCACCAATCTGTCTGGAAAATATTGGGCCTTTCTGTCCAATCTGCCTGGAGACCTCTGGAATTTAAGCATTCCCTAAGAAGCCTGTCCTTACTCCTTTGCTCTATATTACTACCTCGGTGATCTCATCCCCGCCCTTCCCTCTGTCTAAACTATCAGCTTGAGAGGTTATTTTCCAAACCTCCTATTTCCCGCCCACTTTCCTGAGCTATAGGCCCAAATATCCGATAGTCTATTCAGGTAGATACCACTAGATTTCCCACTTCATCCTTTCAATTTGTCCTTCTTTCTTGACATACAAGGCCCTCCAGGGCCAGAGACCCTTTCCTCATGCTGCCTCTGCCTAGAAAGCACTGCCTGCCTTTTAACAATTATGAATCTATTAAGACTCAATTCAAAGATCACCCACCTCCTTCCTGCCTCAAGAAGCTTTTCCTGACCTTCTTTTACCTTCCCTTGGGTAGACTCCCTTTTTTGCACCCAAGAAAACCTTTTATAGATGTCTGCTGTGACACATTTAACAGTAGTCATGGGCTTCCCTGGTGGCGCAGTGGTTAAGAATCCACCTGTCAATGCAGGGGACACGGGTTCGATCCCTGGTCCGGGAAGATCCCACATGCCACATAACAACTAAGCCCATGTGCCCCAACTACTGAGCCTGTGCTCTAGAGCCTGTAAGTCACAACTACTGAGCCTACGAGCCTAGAGCCTGTGCTCCGCAATGAGAAGCCACCGCAACGAGAAATCTGTGCGCTGCAACAGAGTAGCCCCCACTCACCGCAACCAGAGAAAGCCCGCGCGCAGCAACAAAGACCCAACGCAGCCAAAAAAAAAAAAAAAAAAAAAAAACCAGTAGTCATAGCACATGAGTATTTAACTTGCCTGTATTCAACCACATAAACTTAGCAAAAACAAAACACCTCTGAAGGTCATCATACACTCCAGAGTTCACATAAAATAGGAAACATTATGCTTCTCCTAATGTGAATATTCCACTGTGTTTAAACACACATACCGGACTTCCCTGGTGGTCCAGTGATTGAGACTGTGCTTCCAATGCAGGAGAGCGTGGGTTCAATCCCTGGTCAGGGAAGTTCCATGCCAAGCTACACAGAATAGAAAAAGAAATCAAGGGAATAGACAACCAAACAAGAGAATTCTAATATGAGACGTGTCAATAAGGATTATACTAATGAAAACAAAGAATGAAAAATAAAACCGAATTAGGGCAAAAAACAACATCAAAAACAACACCAACAACAAAAATGCAAATAAAACATAGAATATACACCTAAAAAAAAAAAAAAAAAAAAAAGAAAAGAAAAAAAAAATATATATATATAATTAAAATAAACACACATACGTTTTGTACAGACAGAGCAGTAATTTTGTCCCCAAAGGGACATTTGGCAATGTCTGGAGACGTTTTTGGTTGTCACAACTAGGGAGGAGGGTTTTACTAGTTATCAATGGGGAGAGGCCAAGGATGTTACTAAACATTCTACAATGCACTGGACATCCCCCTACAACAAAGAATTATTCAGCCTGAAATGTCAGTAGTACTGAGGTTAAGAAACTCTGAGTTAGACTCATCTTCCTAAATAACGGATTTGGTCATATAATTCCCTTGATTAAACTCCTCCACTATCTTCCCACTGGAACCAGAATAAAATCCAAACTCCTAGCCATGGTCTGTTAAGCCCCATATAATCTGGCCACTGCCTACCTCTCTGATCTCATCCCTCTTCACCTTCCTTCTGAAGCACCAAACTCTGGTCAAAATGGCCTTCTGTCTAAACATACCAAGCCTGTGACCAAACACACCAGAGATTCCCAGGATCTTTACACTTGTTATTGCTCCTATTTGCAATGTTCTCTATTGCATGTTACATCTCAAATGTCATCCATCTCCTCAGAGATGTATTCCCTGAACATTGTAGCATTAGTAGCCCCACTGTCACTAACACCACTACCAGTTATACACACTAATTACCCTATTTAATTTTCTTTGTAGCACTTAAGAGCATATAAAATTCTGTTATTTACTGTTTGTCATCTCTCCCTGCTGCCCTCGGAATGTACACTCCTTGAGAACAGGGATATCTCTAGAGACTAGAAATAAAATGTTCAGTAAATACGTGGTTGACTACAACAGGGCCCCTCAGACTCAAGCCAATTATTTCATCCAGTGATCAACTAAATAAACAGAGGTCTGTTTCCAACAGTGGAGGAAATAACTGGCTCTGATAGACTTGTTGAGAGAAGGATATGTTGGAATCCACAATGGAGTGTTATCCTTAGGGAATTTCAATGTAGTTTTGAAAATACAGCTTTTTCACTTCATATGCTGACTTTAGAAAATGTAACTCATTATATTGTCCCTGCTTAACATCAGTCTTTTATTAAACTGTAAACACTCTAAGGGTAAAAGCCATTTGGAATCCTCAGCATTTAGCATGAAGCTAAGGCACTTTTATGTACTGTCACCACCACTCTAAGCTGGAAATTTTTGTGTCACCTGTTACTGTGTGGTTTCTGTCTCCTGATTAGACTCTGATAGATATATCACACTTCACCCAAAACAATCAGTAATTAACCCTATAGATTTTACTTTCACATTCTAGCTACAAAATATTATCTACCTGTTTACTTTCCTTGTTACAACTAGACCTCTTCTTTTCCCTAACTACTACCATTAGCTGATACATGCATTACATCATCTGAACCACAAAAATGGCATTCTGACTGGTTTTTCCATTGTCGAACCATCTTGCTCAGTAAGTTCAATCTATTTATGTTACTGAATAATATTCAAAGTGGTATGTATTCAATAATAGCTACCATTTATTAAATACATACTATATGCTAGACACTGTTAAGCACTTAACAAATATTCTCATTTTTTACACTCTGATTTAAAAAACTGTTTTTGGTAACAGCTTTATTGAGATATAATTCACTGATGTAAAGTGTACAATTCAATGGTTTTTAATACATTCAGAGTTGTACCATCACCACAATTTTAGAACATTTACATCACCCCAAAATTAAAGCCCATACACTTTAACCATCATCCCCAATATGCTCACCATCCTCGTCTCTATGCTGCCACTCATCTACTTTGTCTCCATAGATTTGCCAACTCTAGACATTTTATATAAATGCACTCAGACAATATGTGGTCTTTTATGACTGGATTTTCACTTAACAAGAACACGGATGAGCGTATTTTCAAAGTTCATCCATGCTGTAGCATGAATCAGTACTTCATTCTTTTCTATGGCCAAATATTTCATTATATGTATATGCCACATTTTGTTTATCTATTCACAAGTTGATGGACACGGGTTATTTTTACCTTTTGGCTATTATGAATAATGCTGCTGTGAACATTTGTGCACAAATGTTTTCATTTCTCATGAGTACACACCTAGGAGCAGAATAACTGGATCAAATGGTAACTTAATGTTTAACTTCTTGAGAAACTGCCAGACTGTTTTCCAAAATAGCTGCACCATTTTACATCCCTACTAGCAGTGTATGAGGGCTGCAATTTCTCTACATCCTCATTAACACTTGTTATTATCTGTCTTTTATATTGTTGTCATCCTAGCAAAAGAAGCACTTTCTTTCCTTGTGGTTTTGATTTGTATTTCCAGATGACTAATGATGTTGAGCATCTTTTCATGTGCTGATCGATCATTTGTACATCTTCTTTGTAGAAACATCTGTTCAGATCATTTGCCCACTTTTAAATTGAGTTATTTGTCCTTTTATTATCGAGTTGTAAGAGTTCTATACATATATTCTGGATATAAGTGGAGAGGCTGAGGTCACAGCAAGTTGTAGAAATGAATATCCTAATCCTGAGAGTGTGATAAGAGAAGGATGACAATAGACAGGGTGTGGTAGAATGGCAGACCCAAACGGAGAGCTGATGTTAATCACTCCTTTGGCAAGAGAGAAACCTCCAATCTTGAGATGTTCTGTGTAGACAAGTAACACTTGGCAGTGAATAGGAAATAAGATAAAACAAGTGACTTACGAAGCCCCAAACTGAGTTTATTGTGGTATAGACCAGGTGATAACAAAACTCTAGTGTATTCAAGTAAAGTCTGATACACCCTGGGATACCTAAAATACAACACAAGGGCAAAAAGCTGCTCTAAAATTAGAAGTCCCCAAGAGAAAATAGGAAAATGACACATGCATCTCGAAAAAGCCAGGAAGTAGAACAGTGTGCCAATCCTCACAACCTCCCCCATGTTCCCAACCACTTCTCTGACTTCCTCATTTTTCCACTACTTCAAGTCATTAAGACCTCTGCATTTTTTAGCCCAAATTGCTGTATAAGAAGAAAGTCTTTTTCAGAAGAATAAGGTGCCATTCTTCTCCTTGGTGCCATCCGGTTAAAGTCAAAACGTGTAACTTTCTCATGAAGGAAACTCTTAGGAACTTAAGGCTCTACAAAGACTGATATAAGGGCCTTTTGCCACACACTAAATCTAGAATCCTGTCTCCACACACTAAATCTAGAAACCTGTCTCCACACACTAAATCTAGAATCCTGTCTCTAGAAGCTACATGTGGCTAACCTCTTGGAAATGAGTCACATCATACAGGAGCTCCCATTCAGCTTAGAATCTACCAGGACAAGTGAATTAAGTTTACGATATAGTGGATTTGAAAGTTGGCAATAATCTGGCATCAGCAGGTAATTTCATCACAATCTCTGCATTTTCTACCAGTCAGGATCTGGCTCAGCTATTTATACCCTGCCATTTACTTTCTCTTCCAATTGCCTCTTATCCAGCTGGCAGGAGCTTCCAAGAAACATGATATAGTAGGCACTGCAGAATACTGGCTGCTTGTTGGGGTTGGAGTAGATCTGTTCAGGTTTGAGGGACGCAAAAGGATTAGCTCCACAGGCTGTGATGTGTGTATCCAGGTCCACCAGAATCTGCAAAGAGGCTGCCAACTCCTGCTGGCTATGGGAGACAGATAAGAAAAATTGCTCTGCTGATTATGAAAGAGATAGGAGAGGAACTGCTCATCAATCCCCAAAATTACCTAAGGCTGGACTAACGCAACAGCTATCCCTCCCTCCCAAATGTCTAGACTAACTACTCAATTAACAAGCATACCACTTTGAAGGGATGAGAAAGCCAAGCATGGGAAGGAAGAAAATGCTCACCAGAAGGCAGAAGATGAGCAAGGAGGAGAGAAATGAGCTCATCTACATAGAGGTGTGAGTGAATTGGGGAGGTACCACAAATAGGAGGAGGTCAAAACCTGTAAACAGTAATCATCATAGGGATCTCATAATCACGAAGTAGCAAAAGGGTGGGCAGCCAAGCCTCCATCAGGTCCGGGGAAGCATGGAAACCTATGGAACAAAAATGGAGATGGGAATAGGAAGGGGAAACGCTAAGGTAGACCCTAACCAACATACTTCTTTGACTGCGTCCACCCCTCACCTTGCTCACCTCCAATGCTCATTTACCACCATCGCCTGCCCCAGATTCTTTAATGGAAAATTATGGACCCAGGTGTAGCACATATGGCTAATGATCAACCAAGGTCTTCATTATATTATGCTTAACCTGACCAAATGAATGGGGTTCCAAAGGTACAAGAGCCAGGATGGAAAACTCCCAGAGGACCGACCCTGTATTCCCCCAAATGACTCTTAGCTGGATGGAATGCCACCACCAAGTCTGGATGGGCTATCTGCCCAGACTCTACCTGCTCCTCCCAGAAGTCATGATAGAGGCCCCTATGGCCACTAAGCTGAACTGTGCCAGGTTCCAGGAGTGAAGGTGAGGCACTCTGTGAAAAGCCAGCAGCTACATCTACACCCACCATGATTACATGGAGGCCAAGGTGCCCAGGAAACATGTAGCCAAGTTCATCATAGTCCCAGGGTGAGTGAGGAAAGTCTCTGCATGAGAAGCACCAACCATGTGCACTGTGCTTCCCCCGACCTTCCCAACATTTATCCCCAAGGCCCGAAGCCCAAAGCCCAGTGTCAAGGGCCGTGACAGGGCATCTGTCAGCAACCACTTCAAAGAGCCCTGCAGGACATCTGGATCTGGCCTTGGCCATCCTACACTGGCCCACAGGGTGGTCATGGCCTAACTACCAAGCATAGCATCCAGAGTAGCCTCTAGCTGTAAACATCACATAGAAAACCAGGTGTCCCAGCCCTGTGCGACTTCAGTCAGCCAAGACCAAGGTCCTGAGGGAAGGACAAAATCACCTGCAGGAAAGAAGAATAAGAAATGACCTAATCCTTCCCTGGCTTCAATATTCCCTCCATGTTCATTCTCCCAACCTGTCCCCAAGACTGCCCTGTCCCCCTCAGTTCCTCATTTTTTCCTCAAAACAACATGCTTTCATATCTTTCTCCAAGTACCATCAACTATGACCATTCTGGCAAAGTTCCCCAATACTGTCACTCCACCTGTGACCAGAGGCCATTCCATGAGACGGTCCACAGCTACAAGATGCAGCTCTTAACAAACCCTCCTGTGCGCTGGCCAGTCTGACCTCTGGCACTCTGGACCACAGTAATAGACACTCCTGCACCTGAGAGAATGAGGCCCAGAAACAGATGTTCCTATACCTCAAAGGTGAATGGGGGACTCCTGGGAAAGGGAACTGATATTCCTGCAGCACCTGGGAAGAAAGATCACCGGGTGAGGAAAGTAGGGAGAGGAATGACAGCTGCTGCAGCAAAATTGGGGACTATGTTTGGCAGAGGAGGCAGGAGGGAGTGGGAATGTAATTTTTCTCTTGGGTTACAGTGACACCTCAGCCTCTATCTAGAACTAACTTTTTATATCCCTTACAGAAACAAAAAAAAAAGCAGGAGTTTGTGGCTGCCCTGTTATCACAGGTGTGGCTTGACCCCAACCTCCCCAGACAGATACGGTCTTACCACTTAAGTGCTCAAGAGAAGAGAGGTAGGGCTTCCCTGGTGGTGCAGTGGTTAAGAGTCCGCCTGCCGATGCAGGGTACACGGGTTCGTGCCCTGGTCCAGGAAGATCCCACATGCCGCGGAGCGGCTAGGCCTGTGAGCCATGGCCGCTGAGCCTGCGCATCCGGAGCCTGTGCTCCGCAACGGGAGAGGCCACAACAGTGAGAGGCCCACATACCGCAAAAAAAAGAAAAAAAAAAAAAAAAAAAAGAGGAGAGAGGTAGAAAGGATTATACTCTGGTCTCTGTCTAACCTCCCCATAATACCAAAATAATCAGAAGCCTTATAAGCAACCCTTTTCTTATTTCTCTATGGCCTAGATCACACAAAATAAGGAGCAAGCCTGAAGTTATTCTGAAAATTCTCAGACCTTTCCTCCTGCAATAAGGTCTTAGAATAGGATCATTCTGGATGTCTCCCCTATTAGCCCCCAACTAATCACCTCTTGCTGGAGGACCCTGGAGTTTGAAAGGCCACTAGGGAGTACTTTACAGTGAGCACAGAATCGGAATGTGTCCTCCATCTTCTGGAACATTTCTTGAAGGCATCTATATCCAAAGCCTGATACAGGAGTATCCCCATCTAGCACCAACCTGCAGAAACAGCATGAAGAAGGAGTGGCAATAGGAAAAACACCTCCAAAATTTCTCATGACCCTTACCTTGCCTCCTATATATTTGCACCTCTCCTACTCCCATTGTTTCTCTTTTAAGCAAATTATATTTCTTCTATAGTAATAAAACTGGCAAAAGTCAGGATGAGAAAATCCCTCATTGCAAATACCCCATATTCCCCAAGCTATACTCCCTCTCCACCTTATGAATCACTTCTACCAGTGACAATATATCACTCTTCCATAGAGCTAGTCACTCACTTGTATTCTTCATAGCTTTTCATATTCAGTTTTGAAGGATCAGCTGGGACAGGCCAGGAACATTATTCTCCAAGGAGAAGAAGCCAAGTGTATCAATGCTAGGGCCAGGTTTTGAGAGGGTCAGAGGCACAGGAGTCACAACTGTGGGTGGGGTCACAACCACGGGAGCCACTGATGAGGGGAGTTTCTTGTGCCTTCGTCATCGGGACCGTGGAGCCATGGCCTGTCCAGTGATACCTGGGGACTATATGTAGAACAGATATGGAATGGAATTTTGTAAGTTGGACACATAAGAAGTTTTTTCATATGTTTGACCTTTCACTTGTCATTCCAGTCTCTCAGGCCCAGGTATCAGGAAGATTTATTTCATATCTACAGATTATTGATCACCACAGGCAGTTGTGAAAAAGAGAAATAATTATATGTGAATATAATTATACATATATGTATTATACATGAAGTTCTATATATAATATAGATGCCTAGAAAAGTCTGGCAGGGCTCATATAAAATTGATAACAGTGATTAACTCTGAGGAGGGGAAAAGGCACTAGGATGGGAATTGGATCAATAAAAGGGAACTTTAGACTTGTTTGTAATCTGTGACTTTTTATACAAAGAATATATTCATATACTATTAGTGTATTTTAAAAAATCAACTTAGAGAGGAAAAAGCAACAAAAGTTTTGGTTGGGCTTCCCTGGTGGCGCAGTGGTTGAGAGTCCTACTGCCGATGCAGGAGACACGGATTCGTGCCCCGGTCTGGGAAGATCCCACATGCCGTGGAGCGGCTGGGCCCGTGAGCCATGGCCGCTGAGCCTGCGCGTCCGGAGCCTGTGCTCCGCAACAGGAGAGGCCACAACAGTGAGAGGCCCGCGTACTGCAAAAGAAAAAAAAAAAAAAAAAGTTTTGGTTGTCCAAAACTACCATCTAACTGGAGAAATAGTCAATCTAATCTAGTTGGGGAAGGAAAACATTCATTTTAAAAGACTTATCATCACATTTATAAGCAATAAACCAAAAAGTAGAAATCAAATGCAATACCAAATGAGCACTAGCACTACAATGCTAAGTTATGTACATTATTAGGAAAATTTTCTAAAAAGGTGAGTTCTGAAGTAGAACTAAACCCACACCCACTCACTACCTAGAGAGAACTCTTGTGGTGTCCTCCTTCCCTGGCCTGTCTTCTCCCATTTCTTCCACGAGGGCTGAGTAAACAAAAGGGACTATATTGGAAAAAATAAAACATAAATATTTATTGATAAACAGATAAAATCATTTGCAAAATACTATAATATATAAAATATACTTAACATCTATATGTCTTAGACGTTAGATATAAACTATAATATAAGGCAGTGTATAAATCCTACAAGAAAAGTGAAACTAAAGCACTAATGGGAGATCAGAAGAAGAGAGTCTCTCAGTTGGTGAGCTACAGACAGACTTTATGAAGCAGCAGTTGGAACAGACCATGAAATATGGCAATACTGTGAATACACAAAGATAGGAAAACAGGAACTCTAAGCACAAAGAAGAGTGTGACCATAACAAATGTAGATGGGAAAATTCTGGGAACTAAGGAACTAGAATGCTTTGAGCTGGGTTATTAAGTCTAAAGACCTAAGTGTAGGAGATAAAACTATAAGGTCTTAGGGGCTTCCCTGGTGGCACAGTGGTTAAGAATCCACCTGCCAATGCAGGGGACACAGGCTCAATCCCTGCTCCGGGAAGCTCCCACATGCCGCAGAGCAACTAAGGCCATGCACCATAACTACTGAGCCTGCACTCTAGTGCCCACGAGCCACAACTACTGAAGCCTGCGTGCAGCAACGAAGACCCAAGACAGCCAAAAATAAATTAACTAATTAAAAAAAATTTTTTTAATGGTAACTTTCATGTTAAAAAAAAAACACTATAAAGTCTTAGAAGAACACAGGGGAAAAGCTTCATGATACTGGATTTGCCAAGTTCTTGAATACGACACCAAAAGCACAAGCAATAAAAGAAAAAATAGATAAACCGGACTATATCAAAATTTTAAAACTTTTGTGCATCAAAGGACAAAGTGAAATGGCAACCCATAGAATGGGAGAAAATACTTGTAAATCATATATCTGATAAGAGATTAATATCCTGAATACGTAAAGAACACCTGAAACTCAACAACAACCAACAGCCCAATTACAAAATGGGCAAAAGACTTGAATAGACATTTCTCCAAAGAAAATATACAAATTTCCAAGAAGCACATGATACTCAACACGACTAATCAAAGGCAAATCAAAACCACGGACACCACTTTACTCCCATTAGGATGGCTATCATCAAAAAACTAGAAAATAACAAGTGTTGGTGAGGATGCAGAAAAACCGGAACCTTCCTGCACTGATGGTAGGAATGTAAAACGGTGCAGCTACTGTGCAAAACAGTATGGCAGCTCTGCAAAAAGTTAAATAGAGAATTATCATATGACCCAGCAATTTCACTCTTAGGTATACACCCAAAATAACTGAAAACAGCTATGCAAACAAATGCTCATACACAAATGTCCATAGCAGCACTATTCACAGTAGCCAAAAGGTAGAAACAAACTAAAGTTTATCAAAAGATAAATGAACAAATTGGGAGATATATATATATATATATATATATACACATATATATACACATATATGTGTGTATATATATATAAATTCAGCCATAAAAAGAAATGTACTGATACATGGTACAATGTGGATGAACCTCAAAAACATTATGCTAAGTTAAAGAAGCCAGACACAAAACAACACATTATATGATTCCATTTATATGAAATATCAAGAATAGGTAAATTCAGAGACAGAAAGCAGATCCGTGGTTGCCAAGGGCTGGGTGGAAGGGGGAATGTGGAGTAACTGATTAATGGTTATAGGCTTTTTGGGGGGTGTGATGAAAATGTTTTGGAACTAGATAGAGGTAGTGGTTGCACAACAATGTGAATGTACTCAATGTCATTTAATTGCTCACTTTAAAAGGATTAATTTTATGTTATGTGAATTTCACCTCAATTTAAAAAAAAAAGAAAGGTATCTATAGAGATTTTGAAGCTAAAAAAATTGTTTTATTCCCCAGATAAACTGCCTCCAGGGACAGGGAAATGAAGAGGATAATGCTGACAGTGGTTGTTTTTACTGTGAATGAGGTAAAAGTTCAAATCAAGAATTGTGTTTTGTTACAAAAATGGTCTGACATTTAATCCTTCTGAACTAGATCTGTTAGGAAAAAACTCCAGAATGATCATTCAGCTGAGATGTAGGTGGCAGAACAATCAAACAAAAACCCTCCCCAAATCATCCAGCTAATATCCATTATCTTACAACATGGCTCTTGCAAACCACGGTCCTCAGGTTAATGGAGGAACTAATTTGATTTTCCTTTGTAGTTTCTTTCTCCTCGTCCTTTCATTCCACCCCTATTCTCCCCCCTCATCCCACAGATGAACAGCCAGTTTCAGAGTCCACAAAACAGAGATAACTAAGTTCATCTGCATATCATATCTTCTACATTCCCACCAATAAAGAAGAAATTAGACCTAAAGATAGTACATTATTTTAGGATTTAAGGTTTATCTCTCTTTCCTAAAGGGTAGATGGAATTGCCTTCAAACCTTAGGACACCATTTCCAAAAACTGACCTGGCTCTTCCCTCCACTTTTTTTTTTTTAATTTATTTATTTTTGGCTGCATTGGGTCTTTGTTGCTGCGCACAGGCTTTCTCTAGTTGCAGGGAGTGGGGGCTACTCTTCGTTGCGGTGCGCAGGCTTCCGATTGCGGTGGCTTCTCTTGTTGTGGAGCATGGGCTCTAGGCATGCAGGCGTCAGTAGTTGTGGCTTGTGGGCACTACAGTGCAGCCTCAGTAGTTGTGACATACGGGCTTAGTTGCTCTGCATCATGTGGGATCTTCCCGAACCAGGGCTCAAACCTGTGTCTCCTGCATTGGCAGGCGGATCCTTAACCACTGTGCCACCAGGGAAGCCCTTTCCTCCACTTTTAATCACCAAACATTCTCATCACATTCCCAGAACCACTGCAATTCTAGAATAAGTACTCATATGCTGTATCTACCCAGCCCCCTCTGGCAAGACACCACCTTCTTAAACCTTGAAAGAATGCACTCATCTTTTCTTTACAGGTATGGAGGAAAAGTATCTTTGAGATAAATCAAGAGTCTTAAATTCCAGAAGTAGTAATAAATATCTTCCTGATATTCAACCAAAGGCCTTTATTCTGCAATGGAAGCCAATTAAGACCAGAAAGGCACTTATACACCTTTCCAATGAGAGGTCTTCCTCCAATGGAAGATTAAGTCCACTGGAAGACTGGCTGAATTGGCTGGAAGTCAAGGGATCACACAGCTTGGGGAGGCATGAAGTTGGTGAAATCCCTGATGCCATATTTTCCTCTGTGTCTACAGTGGGTTCCTGATACAAATGGATAATTTTCTGGCAGGAAGGTAAGAAGGTGGGAATGAGGAGCCAGGTCTTTGCATCTGCATCTGTATATATCATCAGGCTCATGTCTGAGTTTATGTACCCAGGCCCCCTAGTTCTAACTTTCCTGCAATGAGGCCTAGTATCCTCCAAGTTTGGGGGTGGGGAGTTGACCTGAGAGAAACAAAGGCAGTGACTTGGGGTCTAATTTATTCCCAGTATAGAAGAGAGAGAACACCAACACCAAGGACTGGAGAGGAGAGGAGACATGAACTTGACGGCCTACAAAAACTCTTATCCTTCATCTCTAAATTCTCTAAAATATTAGCTATATTATCCCCACACCTAGGTCTCCCATATTCACCCCTCCTTACCACCAACAGCCTCAAATTTCACCTAAATCATAGTCATCTCCTCACCATCTCCAGACCAGTGAGGCCCATCTAATTTTCTCAAATTCACCAGCAAACAAAAAATGTCTTTAGGGAGTAGGGAAGAGAAGGGTGAGTGAAACTCATCATTGGGGATCCTCAAAAGGGGTTAGGAAAGAGAAAGAGAAAAGGAGAAACACATTAGAAACATTGCTATTAGGACAACATTCAGCTGCTTTATCAGTGATTAACACTCCCTGGAGTGCTAAATACTTTACTCAACTATAAACTAAGCAAGCAGAGGAGTTGATGGAAAAGTAACTTACCCTGCTAAGCCCTCAGCTTCCTTCCTTCTCTCTTTCTTCCAAGTGAAGT